CCTGAGCCCACTGGGCTCTTCATCAGCTTCCTTTCTCAGTAAGCGTATAAACCTTGCTTTTCTTACTTTCCTTAGCTTTATTTGTGCTTTTGCTTGCTTTATATTTGTGTTTTAACTTTCAGTTCCTCAGAAGTTAGTGGGGATCTTGTATCTTTTCTGAAAGTGCTGGTGCCCGTGCATGAGGGAGGTTAGGTGCCCGATAAACGGTCGGTTAGTCTGTAATGATGCTGAACGGCACTGTCACCTGCGTTTCACTGCCACGCTATGAAATAAAGCTAATGCTGACCACTCGCCATTCCAGGAAAGCCGTGCAGTCCACCGGACATCGTGAATGGCAACTTTGACTACACGACCAACCTCCTGTTCGGGGCGACAATAACCTACACCTGTAACGTCGGGTAAGCAGTGGCCAGCGCTCCTCGTGAGTCCACGGAGCCGAGGCTGGGAGGCAGTGCCCGCCGGAGACGCGGGGGCTGTTTCCTTGGCAAGCCCAGGCACGACGGAGGTGTTGGAGCGGGGAGCCACGGGGCCAGGCTCTCGCCTGCTCTTGCTGTTGAAGCGGCTTATCTCTGGGCACGAGAGCACGGTCTTTGCCGATTGCTTTTCGGCTGCTTCACAAAGAATTTTGTTCCTTTCCTGTTGGTGCTTGTTAGTAATTCAGTGTTTGCTGTTGTGCCGCGGGTCCAGCTGCGCTAAGGGGTCTTGGGAAAAGGGTGTCTGCAGTGTCCTGGGGGTGCCAGGAGCGGGGCAAGAGGGCACGGGAGTGGTTAAGGTACAGCGGTCACACCTAGCTCCCCTCGGAAAATAAGTTGCTATTTGGAGCTACCACTGCGCAGCACGGGGCTGAACACCCCCACCGCAGGGTGGTGGGGATGCCATTTTACTCGTGCTCCTGTGAGCGTGTATCGCCCCACTGCAAATATTAAGTTTCCTCTAGCTGCATCCTATATTGCATTCCTCTAGGTGTTGAGAAAACTGTATTTTATAGGAGGGCTAGCAGGGTTCAGCTCCTCCAGAGAATACCATTAGAAACTACAACTTTCTGAACTTCTCAAGGTTTTTCCACTTTTTTCAAAGAGATTCAACCTTTTCTTAGGTACCGATTGGTTGGGGAGCCGTCTGCACAATGTGTACTTAAAGACAATGAAGTTTCTTGGGATAACATTCCACACTGTGCCCGTAAGCAGATCTTAAATGTTTTCTGTACATCTCTTCCTCGAAGCTCTTACCTATATCTGGTAGTTTGGGGAATGGCAGGTGGATGCTCTCTTCTTGGCACCTAATTCAAATTACCCTTAATGAGACTGACTCCTTATCCTTCCCACAAACAAGCACTCCCAATGGAGCTGGGAATGAAAGTTAAAAACTAAGGAGGATGTGTGGATGTTGGCAGCAGCTCTGTAGTGATACTGCATCATTCATGGTGTGTTTTCTATCAGGCAGCCATTGCTGAATCGTTTATCAAGAGCTGTGCTTGAGCGGGACTGGGTGCCTTCAGACATGACTGCGCATCCAAAATAGAAGTAAAAAGAAATTCAAAGAGTTTTGTTGATGCTATTTGGGCTTTTTTAACATCCTGTGGGAGGGGCCTGGCCATCATCTGCTGATAGTTTAGATGGTTTGCTGCTATAATAGGTATGCTGGCCTCATCCTCGTTAGCACAGCGAAGGTAGGAAATGCCATCACCAGCCGGTGAGGGTCCCAAACTGCTTAGTGAGACCGTGTTTATTGCCTCCAGAAGGCGTCTTCTGTAGTGTCTCCTCTTGGACAATAGATGCTGTTTTACCATTTATCTATTAAAAAGAAAAACAACCTGGAAAACATTCAGAATTTAAAGGTGCATTCAAGACTTTATGTTGAGATGATTGCTTTAGGGCTGCTTCCCTGTTTTTTTTTTTTTTTTTACTTTTATTAATTTTTTTTTTTTTTGGGGGGCTGTTTGTTGGGTTTTGTTTGGGTTTTTTAGTAGCTAGACCTCAGTTTCATATTCATTGGAAATGCTCTTGCATTTTCTTGCTGTTGCTTTCCCATGCAGCTATTCCCTGTTCACCACCTCCCGCGATCGAGAATGGGCGGCTCGTCAATGGGGACGGAGACTTTATCTTTGGCATGGCTGTAACCTACATCTGTGATGAAGGTTTTGCTACTATTGGAGATGCCACGATTCACTGTACGATGGATGGTAACCTCGAGGGAATGTGGAGTGGTCCAGCCCCTGAATGCAAAGGTAAATGCTTTCTTTCTCTCCTTATTCTCTTTGACTTTGTTTCTCATCCCTCTCCTGACCTGTACTTTCCCGATGGGCTGCCAAACATCAGAAGGTTGATTTGAGTCTACAAGGATTCCCGGAAAGCTTAATGCAGTGGTCTCCCAAGTTGTGGTCAGAGGCAGGGCTTGGTTTAATGGATTCTTCAGCCCACAGAAAGCCTCCCTCTGCCTGCCCGTGCCCAGGGCTTCCTGCAAATGAAAAATGAAGCGCTCTCCTCTGCAGTTTCTTCGTGACGTCTGTGTTCACAGAGTACTCGCACCCTGATGGGCACCTGCCTCTCTCAGAGTGAAAGGACTGCGTAATACCTCTGGTGTCACTGCAGGGCTTTTCCTTCTTGTAATACATATTCTTATTGTCTTATCTTCACTTCCAGTGGTCAGATGTGAAAATCCAGAGGTGAAAAATGGGAGAAGGTTATCTGGCTTTGGCACTGGACACACATATAAAAATACGGTGACCTTTGAGTGTAATCCTGGTCATTTATTGAATGGTAGTAGTATAGTTACTTGTGAAGCAGATGGTACCTGGAAGCCACCTCTGCCAACATGTGACCCAAGTGAGTACAAACGAATTTGTTTCCTTAAGCAATTGCACTGAAGTATGTCTAAGAGCTGTTGGGCAGATCAGCTTCCAAACCTTGTGCGCTTGTAGCCATGCCCTTGCAGAGCGTGCTGGCTTCGGTTCTCGGCATGGCAGCCCAGGCCAGTTACATATTTAGACCTGAAGCTATTTGTTTGTGAACTGCAAGTGATCCAAAAGTGTGCTTAAAGGAGAGACAAAACTGCCTTCTACACCTGACAGCTTGCTTCCCCAGCTCCCAGAGCGGTGGGGGACGTCTGGCTTCCGAGCTCAGCCGGTCCTGCGGGCTGGGGGGTGGTCAGCGAAGGAGCATCTCTGAGGCAGCGATGATACCCAATCTCCATCTTTTCTCTGGTTAAGCAAACAGTGATATATGCTGATGTTTGCTACATGGTTGGATGCAAAGCGTATCCCAGACACTGACATTCGAGCAGATTAAAAAGTTGCGTGCTCCAAAACATGCAGTTCACTGTTCTTATCACAGACCCTTTGGGTACTCTGCTGTAACTAACCTTGCTTTTGTCTCCAATTGCTAGTCCGCTGTGGTCCTGCCCCACGCTTCCCTTTTGCTGAGGGCGAGAGGGCTGTGGGTGACAGCTCTCTTGCTGGAACTAAGCTGAGGTATCGGTGTAAGCCGGGTTACACCGCAGCGAGCGGGAAGTCCTCTGTTGTCACTTGTCTGAGTGATACAACCTGGTCCGCAGACCCAGACTTCTGTATTCGTGAGTATCACTGTTCTCTCCTGGCTTGACTGACCGTAGGAGTGATCTGTACATGCTTGAGATGTTACTCTGGAATCTGGGTCATGCCCTTCTCTGGGTTTGAAGTCATTCCCGTGCTGCTTTCTTTTCCTCTAGGGCAGCAATGTCCTCCTCCCACGATCGAGAACGGGGATGTGATTGCAGACAATTTCCTGTTTGAGACAGTTGTGACATTCACCTGTCGCCCCGGGTGAGTGGATCGCTGCTTGAAAGGGACCGACTCGGTGGTCAGAAGACAGGGGCCACAGGCAGTAACATCCACACACACTCCCTCCCTGGTTTCCCAGTGCATGTCTCCAGTGAAAGCGTATGTTACGTCTTCACCGAGATGAGCATGTGGCAACACGCGTGTGCTTGGTAATGCAGTGAACTGCTTCAGTTTGGCTCTTACTAGTGCCCTCGTTTTAGTGGCTTTTTTGTGGCCAGATCCCATTTCATAGCAGGGGCAGCTTCTGGTCAGTAACTTCCCTGCGTGCAGCGGTGGGGAGGCGGGGGAAGAAGCATCTCTGGGCCGTCTTCTGGAAAGTACTAAACTTCTGTTTCTTTAGGTATGAATTAAAGGAGTCATCTTCTGCCAAATGTGTGGTATCAGGAAATGGAGTTGATTGGGATACAGCATCTCCGTACTGTGAAAGTAAGAGGGAAAAACTCTGCACAGAGCCATTAAGATAAGAGTTGGGTAATGGTGTAGCTGCTTTGCTGGTGGGCTTGGGCTGCTCTTCCTTGTTCTTCTTAATTCAATCAACTGTAAAGCTCATTATTTCCATGCTAACTCACATGCTGTGAGGCCTTAGGTGCAATATTCTCATACAATTCAGAAATCATGCTGACGAAGTGGAAGGAGCGAGGGAAGAGCAGAAATTACAGAAAAAAAAGTCACAGGAGGAAAGTTTTCTTTCTCTAGTTACCAGGGAAGGATGAAGATAATTGTATGTTAGAACTTTGACCGCTCAATTTGGTATAATGCCAAAATAGGGTATTGTGAAGTCAGTGTATTGTGTTATGTGAAGTTAGAAATGGCTGAAGCATTTCTTCTAGCCTGGTTAGGCACTCCTGTGGCTTATTTCATGGCGTGAGATACTGGAGTTGTGGCTAACAACTGATAGTCCTGATCCTGAGGTCCAGTACCAAGCAAGAAAGCTCAAAGTATTTTCAATTGCTGCTAGATGCGTGGCGTTTGGCTGTACCTCCTTGTCCCCATACACCTCTTTACCTTTTCAATTAGGAGAAATACTCAGACACTCTTGCTGATGCTCTTCCTGCAGGACAGCACCCAGACGTTGTCTGTGGAAAGCCACCTACGATTGACAATGGGGTACACAACGGTTCAAAGGGCACAGACTTTGTCCACGGCTCCACTGTAGCTTATAAATGCAATGGTGACTTCACCCTTACTGGAGCAGCCTTTCTTCAGTGTGTTGCAGGAGATGGGTACTGGGGAGTCTGGAACAAGCCCGCTCCTGAATGCAGAGGTGACTGTCATCTCCTCTGTCTGTCTCGCTGCCTCCTCTCGGTCTTCAAAATACCCGTTTTTTCCTTCCTCTGTGAATCCTCAAATCAGAGAATTCTGCTGAGGAGTAAGCCTTTGGTGCTTCCTGAAACGGCTTCAGTTAAAACCTAGTGCCAAACGAGCATGATTCGGTTGTGGCATAGACTCGCAGGCTAGTGGAAATGTATCCTGGTAAATTAAATGTATCCTGGTAAATCTGGCTTTTAACAGATAAACCTCTGTGGAGTTGGGCTGTGCAGGGCCCCCTTCCGTGGGTTGCTTGAATTGTCTTCCGCGTGCGTTGGCTCTGATTTGAGATGTTGCATGTTGTGTAGTTGGATGAATTACCGTGCTGAACGGATGCCGAGTTTCACGTTTTGGCTTGCTTCCTTTCCAGGCGGAGCAAATGGGATCACTGTTGGTGAGTAATACATATTCCTGAGCCCCTGTACCGTGCTTTTGCCTGTCTTTATGTTATTGTCTCCTCTGTGTTCTGCTTAAAATAGGCTTAAAAGCCTTCCAGTACGGTCTGTTGTCATATTTGTATTAAGATCATGGTGTGAAAAGCTGGCGGGGGAGGTAAAGGGGACCAGGGAGGGAAAAGATAGTTGAATATGTTTGGAGTGATGACTGAAGCTGCGTATTTGCCTTTTGCAGGAATCTTCCCCCTCCTCCTGGCAATGCTGGTTATCAATGTCTAGATTAGGGAGCGGGCACAGCGGAGGAGGCACCTGTAGACGTGTTGGACTTGATCACGCTAATCCCAGTGCTCTGCTTTTCCCTCCCGTGAAATTGGCCTTGAAGCAGCGAC